GCTGTCAGCATGTGACAGCAGCCATACTCCAGGGATGGCTTCAACTGGCCAGCTAAACCAGGTGAGGGTATCTGATGGGTGAGTTAGGGATTTGTCTTGCATGAGAAGACAGGCTCTGGCAGATTGAGCAGACGAGACCATTAGTGGGTCCAACGGTCAAGAAGGCGGTTTCTGCTTGTGCTGTAGAGGGATGTGAGGGGCAGATGGAGCTCGTCAACCTGGGAAGGTAGCACATATAGGAAAGGGAAAGCTCTGATCCTAAACCTCCACTGCATTGCGGGACATCTTCAGGAGAAGAATAGGCTAAGAAGTAAACCCTACACAAATTCAGAGTGGAGTCCCTAAGACGGTTGGACGGTGCCTTGTATGCCTTTTTCCAGCAACTCCTGCAGCTAAGCTGGTGCCAGATATATTGCTCTGCTTTCCTTTGGACCACATCAGCGAGGCTGAGAGGGGGGTCTTGTCATTTGAGCAGCCCAGGTCCCCCATACACACTGCCCAGGCTTGCGCCCCAAGGGAGGTCCATTCAGTGCTGCTAATGCACCAGTTTGACTTCACCCCCAGAGGCACACTCCATTGTCTCTCGAGGCAGACAGATGCCAACAACAATATATGCATATATAGCATCGCTAGGTGGCCAAATAAAGAAATGAAGAGTCCAAATCGTTATAGGGCTGCCTTTCCTGGGAACACAAATGGCTGCTAGTCTTTTTGCTGTGCAAAAGATGAAACCGGTAGGATTTCAGGTAGGCAGCAACTGTGTCAGGGAACAACATATTTTGACTCACACTGTCCTCTAGTGGTATTTGCTCAGTCACATGCTAAATTGTGAACAGATGGGATGAACTTGAATAGATGAAGTGCCTGAGGGTCTGGAGAACAAGAACCATGTTTTCCCTTCAAATTTCTGCTTGGTGAGGCAGCAACAGAAGACACACGTGTTTAGGCATGTGCACACACATGTCCACATTGCCATGTGATCCTCCGTTTCCCCAAAGCCGTCCAGATTGTGGGGTTTGTTTGGATGCTGATTACCACTCTGGAAAAGGAGATGGTTGCACTTTTCATCTGGTCAACTGGCGTTCAGGGTGATCTTTTGCATGCCTGGCCACACAAAACTGCACCGCACCATACGCACATCCCCACACTGGTCTGCAGTGCAGAGAGCAGTGGGGGTATTGTGACACAATTGAGAGCTGACAGGAGCAGTTGTGGCAGGGGACTTTTTGTAAGGGACCTTTATTGAGGTGGAGTAACAAAGGCCATTCAACTTATTTCTTGACCAGCAGAGGCAGGAAGTCTCAGAGTCAGAGGTGCCTGTGTCCCCTCTCGCATTGTAAATACTACAATAATAAATTAAGTAACTAACATTTGTTGCCCATTCGTGACTCCCAAAATCAGCTGCCGTGTGAGGCAAGCTGATTCATCTTGCATAACTGTAGAGCTGCAGATACACTCTGTATAACTGAAATCACTTTGTCGGCCTGCCAGATGATGCAGTTGTACATAGGCAGTAGCGAAGAGGCTTGATTTAGATGCTTATTGTATTGTGAATGTTTCCATGCCAGTTCATGCTAGCTCTGTCACTAGCTCCATCTCTGATGTCTCGGTGGCCAAAACTATTCCATTTCCTCTCTATGCTGCTTAACTGCGTCCTGTGAATATGTATGCGGTGTCTTCTCTCTCATCCTGCAAAGAAGCCACTTCATCTTTTCTCCCAGAAGTCTGTTCAAATATTATAACTGTGCTTTCTCACATTCATCATTCCGTATCCCTTCCTCTTGCTCCCTTCCTCTTCTTCTCCTACACGGGTAGATGGGCAACCGGCAATCCTGCAGATAGTGTTGGTCTCGATCAGCCCTGGCCAGCATGCCCAATGGTCACGGATGATGGGATACGACATCCCAACAATCTTTGGGGGAGGCACAGGTTCACCATCCCCTACTCTGGTGTCTCCTTCAATAGCAACATTTTAATCAAAAGTTCCTTGCTTATGGAATTCTGTGAATCGCCTTGAGATCTACAGGTATAGGGTGGTATACGAATTTATTAAATCATCATCACCATCATCATCAAGGTATGTGTGTATATATGTGTACACCCACACCCACACACACCATCAAAATTCTGTTCACTTTCTTAGCCTACACTGTAGGGCTAGAAGGCACACCACTTTCTTTCACTGTTTTCCTCTGAAAACCAATGGCTTCCAATGCTGGGGCGATTCTTCTGAAATGATCTAACATCTTGAATGGATAGTTCGTGCAGGTTTAGCACTCTTAAAAGTGTCATGTCTCTAGCAACAATTCTGTGTTAATTGCAAAGAACATTTGTCCCTTGAGTATTATGAATCAAAATTCATCCCTCCCCCCCCCACTTTTTTAATTTACAGATATTGAACTTTCATCTAACTTGACATCATTCGGACCACATGTCCTGTTTTATTCCACAGATGTGGGTTTTTATTAGTGTGAGTCAGAGAAACAGAATTGCATTCTTCTCTCCCTGCCCCCATAAACTTAGGGTAATCTATCTTCCTATATAGGATATTGCCATGGTAACCTTGGTGTTACTAGAATGACCTAATACAATTAACTGGGCCCTGTTCAGGCAAAATTTCCTTCTCACAGACCTATGGTTTCCCCAACACCCTTATTTCCTCTTCTCTTAACAGTAGCCAGAATACTTTGCGTTTAACCACTCAGGAATGATTCATACACCAACTACTTTGATGTGATTCTGCAGGCACAAATGAACTTACTTTAGTATAAAAGGTCTTTCAGCTGCTCCTATAAATTCAAGATCTTCTAGAGACACAGCACCAACTGACAGGAAGTTAAGTATTACCAGGTTGGATGTACCAAAAATGAACTCAACGGGACTTACTTCTATTGCATGCATGTATAGGATGCACTGTTAAGAGCCCAGTCCTGCATCATGAGGGCTTCAGTGGAATTATAGCAACCTGACTGGACTCAGGATTGGATCCTTAGAGCTGGTTCACACAACTATAGTCATCTTCATGTCTCATCACTTGCTTACTCAGCCTTGATGACTCAGCTAAATGTGAGAACCGCCTATCTCCACAGAGGGGGAAAATGTCATGTTTCAGATGATAAGAATATGAAGAGTCTGTCAGTGGTGTTTGGTCTGTGGTGGCTGATACAGCCATGCAAATAGTAATAGTAGTAGTAGTAGTAGTAGTAGTAGTAGTAGTAATAATTTATACCCTGCCCATCTGGGTTTCCCCAGCCATTCTGGGTGGCTCCCCACAGAATATTAAAAACACGATAAAACATGAAACATTAAAAACTTCCCTAAACAGGGTTGCCTTCAGATGTCTTCTAAAAGTCAGATAGTTGTTTATCTCCTTGACAACTGATGGGAGGATGTTCCATAGGGTGGGCGCCACTACCAAGAAGACCTTCTGCCTGGTTCCCTGTAACCTCACATCTCACAGTCAGGGAACCACCAGAAGGCCCTCAGAGCTGGACTTCAGTGTCTGGGCTGAACGATGGGGATAGAGAACCTCCTTCAGCTGTACTAGGCCAAGGTCAGTACAGTTGGTACCTCAGGTTATGAACAGTCCTGCTTACAAATGCTTTGGGTTACGAACTCCACAAACCCAGAAGTATGTGTTCCAGGTTGCAAACTTTGCCCTGGGATACGAACGCAATCCGCTTCTGGGGCCATGGGAGGCCTATGTAGGGAATGCGCGCCTCGGGTTAAGAACACTTCGGGTTAAGAACAGACTTCTGGAACGAATTAAGTTCATAACCTGAGGTACTGCTGTATGATGTTATGCTGAGCAAGCAGGTAGTTTTCATTCCCCAGGTCTACTGGTGCGTCAGGACAGTCTCATATTCCTTGAGAAGGACCCAGGAGATGAGAAGACTTAGGCAGCTGTGGGAAAGGCCTTCAGTCTCCACAACTGCTTCAGAGGGGCAAGACCTACAGAGAAGAGTTGTCTTGCTCATTAGGCCTGGCACTCCTGAGTAGACCTTGTTTATTCTAATCAGTAGTCAACTTCACTTACCCCATGTGATCTATCGTTGGTTCACTCCTAACAGTGTTCTTCGTGGATGTTGGCTGCTCTGTGCTTGTATGAATGAATAGGAGGTTTAAAATGTGATCAAGGCAAATATAGGGGGGGGCATGAATGTGAACTGATGGATATTCATGAATAGATGAAATCTGTGGAAGCTGGCAGGCTGAAGTTAGTGGACAGAGTCACCAGGCTGAAGGCAGTCGGGGTGCCTGGGTGATGCTGTCAAATGGTAGCCATTTCCAGGCGTTTCTTGCTCCAGATGAACCTTTTAAAGATTGCAGATGAGAGCTACTAGGAAGGGCCTTCCCAGGCTTCTTAAGCCTTCAGATGACTCTGGTCCTGTGCTAAGACAACATTTTCCAAAACTCAGCCAGCATGGCGTCAAGTTTCCCGCATTTGGGGGAAATCGCAAGGGTCAGCACACCTGGAGTGCAGTGTTTGAGACTCACCCTGAGAAAACCTCCTTCATGCTTAAGATATCTCCCCTGACCAGGGTTTGATACTGGCCTTGCCTTGCCTGAAGCAGCTTTGGTAATACTGCTGATTTCTCCAGAGAGCCCCAATCTCCAGCAGAGCAGAACAAATTGCAAATGGATGCTAGGATTCTACGGACTTTGTATGTACAAACCCAGGGTAGTTGGGCAGATGGCTTGTTTGGTTCAGGTATAAGGAACACCTTGCAGCAATATGGCAAGTGAAAGCAACAGCAGATCAGGAAAGGGACAATTGCAGTAATTCAGAGGGAACTGATGACATGATATTGGCATTCGCAATGGCATGGGGTTGAGGGTCATGCAGTGAATACGGAGACCAGGCAGCCTACTGTAGTTAGGACACATTTAAGAACACTACCTGGGGAGGTGTTTTTTTGGGGGGTGGGGTGGGGGGTTGAGTGAGCATCAGTCCTTCAAATAAGGTGAAGTAAGTCACACAGGAACAAAAAACACACATGTATTAGTCTTTTTTTATTAAAGTATCAAAACATAAAACTTAATAGAAAACAAATTGCTTCTACTGCATTATTAAATGTTCAGAATAAAACAGATACATAAATCCATGCAGTTCTTTCATTCAACAATTCTCCCACTTGGCTTGGAAGCCAGCATCCAACCTGGCCTGGAAGGAGTTTGCCTGTGCCCTGAAGAACAGGAAGGAGCTCAGCTACTGCTGCTGGCTGCCACTGCAGACAGGCGACGTTTAGGCAGCTGAACTCCTTCCTGCCACAGTGCTGTCAGAGTGCCAGAGTCCCCCAGAAGTCCAGCAATGCAACTCTCAAGCAATGCAAACAGATATATAGGATGTATACTATTGGTATAATCTTGAGGTATGTGCACTGCACACTTACCCACATACGCAACCACACACACACAACCACACACGAGGAAGCAGCCACAGCTGAACCAAGATTATCTTTGAAAAAGTAGCAGTGCCGTTGTAAACATTTGGCATGCTCGCTAAAGTCATTTGTGTTTCAACCGAAGCAGCAGCAGCAGCAGCAGCAGCAGCAGCAGCAGCAGCAAGACGCCTGCGTCATTTTAAATAGGCTGTAGAACCGCAATATTAAAACACCTCTCAAAAGGGAAAACATTAATTCTGCGTTGAGAGTTAACAAAGACTCTATGTATGAGAACATCATACATGCAACAGAGTCCATTCTTTTATTATCATTTTCTGAATTGCTTTTGGAAACACGTTAAATACATAGACAAAGCAGGGGTCCTTTGATACAGCACAGGTGATGGGCAGGGACCGTCTCTGGCTAATGTTGGCAGCTCCTCATACTAGCCTAGGGTGTAGATCCCAAGAAGCCCTTCCATGTATGAAAAGTGCATTTGTACATGGAAGGTCTAGTTGCTACAGAAGGGATAGGGAACCTGTGTCTCCCTAGGGATTAACTCACAGCATCCCTGACCATTGGGCTGAACTGGCCAGGGAGCTGGTAGGAATTGTGACAACATCTGGAGGGCCACAAGATCCCCATCCCATCACTAGAGCATACCATGAGCAAAGCAAAACCAGATCCAAATATGCTCTTTTGCTTGCAGAGCAGGAAAACAGTGCGACAGCCTGACTGTTAGAGGGTGCATTCACATTGCTACCTAAGACTGCAGTGATGTCTTTCCAGCACTCTCCCCACGACCACCCTACCCCCAGCTGTTCACATCAGCACGGCTTCATTGTTTCTGTTTGTGTACATGCCAGGGGTTGGTTATGGTGGGGGTGCCTTTACCCCATGCAAAGGTGTTCACCCCTTGGCCAGAGACAAATTCGGAAAGCCTTAAGGACTCCACTTGGTGTGAAGCTGGTTTGAGCAACAATGCATCAGAGGGAAGCATTTCACAAAAAAGTGCAGGGAACATGTGCATTTGGGATAATGCTGTGTGAACATGGATTAAAAACCCAGCACTAAACACACACAGGAAATGGGAGTGTGAACACAGCCATAGTTTTCTTCGTTCTTTGGATCTGGCCTGCAATATCTCACAATCAACAGCACCGTATCACTTTTAGGGAGCAACAACATTAGATATTGAAGATGGCCGAGTACTGTCTAGAACATATATTCATAATTACAGGAACCCAATCAATTCCCCCCCCCCAATAAGGTTCTTGATAGCAGAATTGCACATAGTTAACATAGTAAATAAACTCTCTTCCCCCCCTCCCTCCCTCTTCCCACATACCCCTCCCCAACCCAGTACATTGCACGGTCAACGCAGAGGTCTTGTGTTCCTGCTGTCCAACATGACTTGAGGAAAAGCTCACAAACAGCAAAGTGAATTTACTCTGCAGGAAGAAAAATCACACTCTGATGAGACAGAATTTGGCCCGCTTCCTTCCATTTTTTGTTACATAAAATATACATTTGAAACACAGCATTGGACATTATAATATATCCAAATTGCTGAAAGTGTATTAAGTACTTCTGTTGCAGAATGTAAAAAACAGAGAGATAAAACAGGCAGCAGGCTCAAGTATACCAGCCACAGATTGACAGTAAAAACCTATGCATGTCTCTACTCGGAAGTCCCATTGCATTCAATGAGCCTTCCTCCCAGCTAAGTGTGTACTATATAGGATTATAGCCTTTGAAAACTATTGTTCTGAGGTACGATGTGTATGTGGGTGTGTTTTAACACTGGACAATGGTAGATGAAGGATTTTATCCTGCAAACGCCTTTGTCTACTGCATTGATTACATAATTAAATTTAGATCCCAGCAGACTAAAAATAGAAATAATACTTCATAACAGAACTGCAAAGTGTTTGGGCAAAAATAAGGATTTTTCACCCAAATCTGCATACAGAAATCTGATTTGCAAAATTAAAATTCCTATTCTTGTGACTCAGGTTCCTAAATTCGGGGTTTGAATACTGAGTGGGGTTTGTCTCAGAGGGTGAAGTGAGCTCTTTTTGTTTTTGTTTTGCTTTGGTAAGGTGTTTGTTATTATAGTAAAAAGTTAGAGTTTAACTAAAACAAATGGAGTTTTGAAAATAAACTCAGTTTCCCCCTGCCCCAGCTCCCAAAATTGGAAATCAAAAAATTTCGGCATTTGAAAATTCAGCAGTACTGAAGCACAAAAATTCATGATTATGATATTAAACACAAGGGGGAAGGGATTTAGAAATAAAAGCGCAGCAAATCGCCTCCATTTTTTCAGCTTATGTTATTTGCTCTACCTCACAATCTGTGCACTACTTAGGCATATCAGTGATAAATAAAAGGTGACTAAGGAGTCCAGAGATCCTCACAGAAGGAGGGGTGAGAAATGCCAGCAGGTGACAAATGGCTTATTGAATAGGAAGGGGCACCTGAAATTAACTCCCCCAGCTACCAAAACAATCTGCACTGTTGGAGTTAATAGCATGAGTACAGGGTGCCTGAGCATTGCTCACACTAGACTTGGGGTTTCTACCCCAGATACCCAGAGTACCATTCTGTGTAAATGGTATGACAACCAGATGAGTAATCTATGCAAAAAGCCTTACAGGGAACAAAGGATGGACCACAACTCAAGTTGCAGAGCACATGCTTTGAATGTATGCAAGTCCCACACCCGACTCATCCTTAAACAAGGATGACAAGTAGCAGAGTCTGGGGTCTTTGAAGAGGCTCTACCAGTTCATCAGACAAGATGAAGCAAAGCTATGAAACTCTGTAGAGCAGCTTTGTCTGTTCCAACACTGGATTGCTCTGCTTGAGAACTTTAATGATCATACTTATATAGGTGCAAGTTCTATTATCCATGCAAGGTGCTGTGGGTTGAGAGACAGCAACAGGTTCAAGGTCACCCAGTAAGCTTCAGGTATCAATGTGGACCAACACTCTAACCACAAGCCGTCTGCTATTCAGCTGTTGACAGACCTACCTGGCTACTTTTAAGTCTCTTTTCCTAGCACAGCTGTAATTGTCATGGGGCAGTTTTGCAAATACATGCAGTTAATGCACCCACAATCATTCCTTTGTGCAACCTGAGAACCACCAGAATTTCTTGCTCTGAAAAAAAAAAGGTGGTGCCCAGGAAAGATTTGCAAGTTCTGGATTCATGAGGCCCACAAATCAAGAGAGGAGGATTAATTTAACATCTATGCCGATCGTGTCACTGTTTTGTATGTTATGAAGTCCTTCCGAATACTGTACATGATGTGACTCATAAAGTGGATTCTCAAAGGGGAATTCCCCTGTCTTCAAACAAGCCAAGGGAAGGGGTAATGTTCCAGCTTGATACATTCAGACTTTTTTCTTTCTTTTTTACAGAAGCTGATGCCTGTCATATCACCCACAAATCACCCCCAATGTGAGTCATCAAAAAACCCACAGAAAGGCTTCCGTGAAAACAACAATACAAAGAGAGCGTAAAGCTCGGTTTAAAAAACATTGCACTAGGATATAGAAACACAGTAATTCCCGTTATATCGCAATGCCTTTCGGAATTGAAAGCAGCATTCTGGAAGTTGCCAACCTCTTTCTTTTGAAAGTACAAAGCAAAAGAAACAAACAAAACGAACAGCCCACGCTATCTAACATTTCCTACCCCAATCGAGGACAAATGGGGAGGGTCCATTCAGCTTGGCTGTCCATCAGATGTGCATTACGGCGAGTCCTAGTGTTCTGCTCAAGTGCAAGTAGCACATGCCATCAGGGGTTTAGCAAGTCTGTAGCTGTACGGCTTCTAGGAACAGCAAGTATGGCAGATACTAAAACCTGAATCACAGCTAAGCTAGCGCAAGTCTTTTCTTCTTAGCAATGTCATCTCCTCTGCCTTCTCTCAACTAATGGGAGACCACAAATACCAAGATACCTTCTCTTATGGCTTCTGGCTTGGGGTGATGTGCTGGGGTTTAATTTTTTGGTGTCAGAGGCATGCCCTAAGGGCACCTGGCATTGTCACTTAGCCTTGCAAGGTTCCTTCTTTTATCTGCTGAATGAAGAGGATCCTTTCGTCCTCCGGCGTCCTCCCGTTCTGGGCCCGGACGATGCAGGTGGGCCTGTGCAGATTAAGCATGTAGATCAAATGCTGCTTCTCGTTCTTCAGCTCCTCAATCTGAGCCTTCAGTTCAGCATTGATGGTTTCCAGCTTCTCCGATTCCTAGCCACAGGAAAAGAGGGTAAATATAAAAGCGGAAGTTCTGAAGCATTCTTCTTTTAAACACACAAATGCACACCTCCTCTATCGCATCTTCTGTGCCCAGATAGCATCCGACTTACCTTCTGCAGACATTCTGTCTTCTCCTTCTTTTTGTTTCGACACTTGGCTGCTGCAATCTTGTTCCTTTCCCTCCGTCGCCTTTTCCTTTCATCTTCAGGCGCACACTAGAGCAAGATTCAGAGAGGGGGGGGGTAAATTGGTTGACTTTGGGCACAGCCAGATGAGGTATCAATATTGCAAGGGGGCCACGTTTATACTTATTTATTTATCAGCATCTCCCCCAAGTGTACCACGGAGCTATGACTCCTTCCCAAGAGCACATGATTCAGAAGTGCATGCAGTGCGCACCAAGGCTCCAGCTTGGCACTAACGCAGTTGCAGCCTTTCACAAAGCCACTTTCATTCAAATACACACAGATCATTGTCTGTGATGGGCTGGGGAGGCAGACTCCTGCCTTATGTATAATACAGTTTTCCTACTGGAAAGTTCATTGAACAATTAGCTACTGGTTTTAGTTCCTCCCCCCCCCCCCCCGCTTTCTGTTTTTGTTCTTGTTTAAATAGAACGCCATTACTGAATGTGAAAGCAAAACAAGCAATTAAAAAAAGCACCTCTGCTTTCAAAACAGACATTTCCCCAGGTCTGTCCGAAACCATGACTGTGTCCAGCGTGGAGGACATCCTGTGCGACAGGCACTTGTTCTGGATGGCAAATCTCAGTTCTTCTTTCACCAGCGGAGTTAGATTTGTGAAGTCTTCAAAACCCAGGGACACCGAAGGAGACAGGCACGGGACAATGGCAGTGGCGCTGACTTCCGAAGCAGACACCTGGCCAGGGTGTTGGAGCATCATTTTGCTGAAAAAGAAGAACAAGAATGACTCTTTCTGAATTTATCAGGACTGTGTGTGTGTGTGTGTGTGTGTGTGAGATGATCGTTTAACTCTCAACTAAGACCTGATTTAGAAAATATGACTTTTGGACGTGGAATAATTCCTGAAACTCTGGGCCGTGACCCATAATTATATATTGATAGACTGGTTGCACATGAATTGTATCCAAGTAAGTCCTACTCAGAGTAGGTCTTCTGAAATCAATGGGCTTAAGACAGTCATGCCCATGTGATCATTTCAATGGATCTGCTCTAGGTACAACTTAGTTGGATATATATATATCTTAGTTCAATATGCAGTACACATGTTTATTTAATCCTGACATTTCTATCTTGCCCTTCCTGTAAGGAGCTCCAGGAAGCATACATGGCTCCCTTTCCCTGTCTTAACCTCACAACAACCCTGTGAAGTAGACTAGGCTGAGAGAAGGTAAGTGGTCCAATGTCACCCAGTAAGCTTCATGACCACAGTGGGTGGCGCTGTGGTCTAAACCACAGAGCCTTGGGTTTGCCGATCAGAAGGTCAGTGGTTTGAATCCCTGCAACGGGGTGAGCTCCCATTGCTCGGTCCCTGCTCCTGCCACCCTAGCAGTTCAAAAGCATGTTAAAGTGCAAGTAGATAAATAGGTACCATTCTGGCGGGAAGGTAAACAGTGTTTCTGTGCGCTGCTCTGGTTTGCCAGAAGCGGCTTAGTCATGCTGGCCACATGACCCAGAAGCTGTACGCCGGCTCCCTTGGCCAATAAAGCGAGATGAGTGCCGCAACCCCAGAGTCGGCCACGACTGGACCTAATGGTCAGGGGTCCCTTTACCTTTACCTTTAAGCTTCATGACTGAGTGGGGCTTTGAACCCTGGTCTCCCAGGCCCTAGGAGACTCTAACCAGTACACCACATTGGTGCTCTCTCTCCATACACACACACACACACACACACACACACACACACACATTACACAAAGCACCCTTGATAAACAACTTAAATGCAACTATAAACCGACAATATACCTCAATAGGAAGCAATTCAAAACTAACATTGCCAGTTTTTTTGCACCATTTGGTATAATACTGCCACATACTGGCAGCTGGGTGAGCAACTTCTAACCAAACAGGAAATGTGAGAGGCAATATATACGTTATATAAGTTACATGGGATTTTGTGCAATAATTGCACCACAACTTGAACTGGGTCACTTGTGCCGATTAATTAATCTCCCAGTCTTATGTTTAGACTGGCAGGGATTCGCCCAGTGTTTGTGCAGTTTAGGTGTGTCAGATACACTAAATTAGTGCACCCAGTGCTCAAGAAATCTCTCGCCTGCAATGTGGCTCATTCACACATGCCGCTGCACATATATCCAGCCATAGGAATCTATCACAGGAGTCATCCTGAGAAGCTCCATTTTATTAGAGGAAGCAATAAAACTCTGCAAAATGTTATTACCAGCAAAATCTATCACAATTAGCTTCATAATACATAAGCCAATTACTGCCTCTGGGCATTTGTGTACATAAATGAAGCCATCATGCTGTCAAACTAGATTTGATCTATGCAGTATCCATCGTAATTATAGCTTCAGGGAATAGTTGGAGTTCATTATGGTCTCCCACGCCAGTGGAAGTTGCACCCTTTTGCACTGGCAGTAAATAAGTGTGCTTAAGGAAAAAAATAAGATTTGAAGGCACAGCTTCAAGTGGCGAAACAGGACACACTGCCACTGCTGCTACCTACAAACACATTTCTTCATCTTGCACCCCAACAAGGCAGGAGTATTGTCACAGTTCAATGACACGTTCCAATCAGGCAAAAGCACTTGAGGAGCGTGCAGCGTAGGGCTGATCTGGGGAGAAGCTCACGGGCCAGACAGACAGCTCTGAAGCATCGCATTCAGACCTCAGGCCACAGGTTCTCCAGACCTGATACAGATAGTTAGGTTTGTTGGTCCCACACATGTTTCCCACAGGCATCTGGTTGGCCACTGTGAGAACAGGATTCTGGACTAGATGGGACATTGACCACACCCTTACAGTTTGCTACATGTATGTAGGCACTGTTTGCATGCATTGGAAATACTTGGCTCCCTACCATGGCAAAATGCATGCATTTCAGCCATAAGGGCTTTATTTTTATTTCAACACAGAAGTAAGGATTTTATGATGTGCAAAGTGAATCCTAGGCATACCCCCTCCAAAAAAGCAACAGCAGTAGAAAACCAAAAGTTTCTTGACCTCCTGATTATGAGAGCGAAGATTTCCTGGAATTGTTTGTTATTTCCATAGACCTTGAGAAACTTATGTAATTCTGCAGAAATCCCCCTGGCCATGGTGAGTCACACCTCAAAAATGCTGATCTCCTTCAATCCTCCATAGAGGTAGAAGATAACTCCAATCAAACCAAGACAGCAAAAGGGCCTTCAGTTTCCAGGTTATCCTCTTGTTTTCAGCTCAGAAGATGGTAATGAAAAGTCGATCAAAGCGGTAAATTAACAAAAGTGGTGTGCCTTAACTGACTTCTTTAATTGATTATAGAGACTGCTTAATTCTTCACAGATTAATCTACCCATTTCCCAGTCATATCTTCATAAGCCAGGTCTATGAACTTGTTTTCCAAAAACAGAAACCAGAATGCCAAGATTTTTTTACAATGCCAGTGTTCTGGGTAATTATATGCAGAGTGGGGGGGGTCCCCATTTATAGGCTATAAATTATAGCTATATTTAATAGGCATGTCATGCCAATTCTTGGAGCCCCATTCATTATGTTGGCACTACTGTTGGCATCAACACAAAATTCTGAGGATCTGGGGAATGGCCAAGGTTTCGTTGCACCAGTCCCCTGGCAGAGAAACAGCTGAGAATGTGGCAGTAATGTGGGACTCCGGAGAGAATTGCTACAGCTTTCCAAAAACCATAGTGCTATTAATGTACATTCTCAGCTGTGTTTCAGACAGAATCCTGCAAAGAGGTCTAGGCTGACAGACTCGTCCAAAGATACCGCAACGAGTTCCATACCTGAGAAAGCAGGAACCAGAATCTGGGTTTCGCACATCCAAGCACAACTCCCTCCCGTCCCAATGTCTCTCTACTAAATATTATTTGCTGCTGTAGTTTCTGTTTGACGAGCCGTCATGTACAGTCCATCGAACACAGTAGTGCCTGATGCCCATGTTGACCAATAGGGCAGAAGGCAAGGAGGCAAACAGCAGGGGGAGCCAGATCCAACGACAGGCAGAGCCAACTAATTCCATTGTCACCATCCTCTTCCTTGCTGAATTTTGCAAGAGCAATACTAAGACTTAAGGAGCAGGAAGCTGACAGGTGCTATACATAGGAAATCAGGTAGGTGGGGTTTGCCTCCACTGATGTAACTGTGTGGGTCCCAAGCTCAAGGAATGGAGGATGCCTTATTTGTTAAAGTCACTTGAACACACCTCACATCCAGCAACTGGGCCTCTCTTAAGAGCTGATGCAAGACGATTGCAAGGTCTTTATGCATTCATCTTGTGATCATTCAGTGCCACACAGAGGCAGACTGAAACATTCTACAGCCAGATGGAGCCAAATAAAAACATTTCACAGCCCATGTATGCAGTACTGAGCACTGCATTTCCAAATTATTAAAAAGGCAAGATCTGATGGCCTCTCCCCCTGCGGTGTTCACATATCAAAGGCTCCCCATTTCTTTGTCAACAATTCTGCCTTTTAAAAAGGGTGACAGCTAAGCGCAAAACAAAATCAGCTCCACCACGCAATTTAAATGTCAGGAGCTGCCTTATATCAAAGAAGAAGAAGAATTATTATAGAGTTGGAAGGGACCCTATGGGTCACCTAGCCCGCCCCCCTAAATGCATATATTTAGCATTTAAATAATGAGTGTTTTATCCTGAATTTCAAAAGACAAGTCACTGGTCCATTTAGTTCAGTATTATCTACTCTTCCTGGACAAGTGGAGGTCTTTGCTACCCCACTCCAAGACCTACAACCAGAGATATTTTCTTTTAATCTGAGGGCACTTCCACATGGCAGTTTATTGTAGACCCGATACTGATCCTGCACACAAGCTTTGTGTAACAGCCACATAACATCCTACTCATACAAAATGTCATTGTATGTTATTTTCTCAATTAATCCAGATTTTGCTTTCCTTCAGAAAATATGATGAGATTTAAAAAAAAAAAACCAACCAGAAACTTTAAATGTAGTTTAAAATAGGGCTGCTGGATGTAGGATGGCATTTTGACGAGAATGCCATCACGTGGACTCTGAGGAAAATTTGTGCGCATGAGCAGCATCAAGTCCGCAATAAAAGCTACATGCACAGAATTCATTTAATGTACATAATTACAGCATGTTGCCCACCCCAAGAATTATGGGAACTGTAGCTTACCCCCCACACTTTCCAGCACCCAGAACAAACTACCATTCCCAGAATTCTTTGCGGGTGCTTTAAATTGCTGCCCTGGGCTCCTTCAGGAAGGTGAAATACAGATTCAATAAATACAATTTAAGTATATGGTGTGTACACAGCCCAAATTACCCAGAGATACTAGAGATTGACCCTGAGACCTTTAACATATGAGGGATCTGCTCTACTGTATCACTGAGCAAAGGCCACCTGCCAGGGCCGGCCCACCCATGAGGCAAGGTGAGGCAACTGCCTCAGGCAGCAGGATCCACAAGGGCAGCAGATCCTGAGGTAGATCTTTATTCCCCGTCTTGTTCCTGAGGTAGACCTTCACTCACCCCTTCTTCCCTGAGAGGGAGGGGGTGCCATTTTGTAATTCGCCTCAGGTGCCAAAATGTCTTGAGCAGGCCCTGCCACCCACACCCTATATTTCATGTGGTTCTTCTCTGCATGTTGATCCTTGCTGTGCAACCCTCTGCTGTTCATAGCTTTATTCTAAGCAGCAGGAGAGATTCCAAAAGCTTCCGAGTTCTTTCAGCCTGTGCCAATTTGCCCACACATTTAT